CCTTTCTGCAGTTGCAGGAGCTGGTAAAGATGGTCAAGCTGCCTGAAGAAGACCATCAGCCCTTGAAAAAGGGTGAAGAAACCCCCTTGCAAAAGGGTGAGTCCTTGAAAAAGGATGAGGATGCAGTTTCTCTGGACTCATCAGGCATTCCAAAGATGTTTCTGACACCAGAGAAACAAGAAGAGAAGCATCCAAAAGCCAGCTCTGCTTCCCATGCCAAATCATTTATGATGAGAAGGGAAGGATCCTTGCAAAAGGAAAAAGGAACTCATGCCTTGCAAAAGGCATTGGGGTATGGCAGCAAGCCTTGCAAAAGGCCTGCATCCCTTGAAACTAAAGTGGAAGGAACCCTTGCAAAAGGGAAAAGCCAACCCCAAGGGGTGACAAAGTCCCTTGGGAAAGGGAAGAAAGCCCTTGAGAAAGGGAAGAAAGCCCTTGAATATATCTGTGATGAGATCATGAAGTCCTTGCAAAAGGACAAGATTGGCAAAGAGGAAGCCTTGCAAATGAGACAGGTGCTGGTGAACAATTTCCCTTGACCCTTGGACCTTTGAGCCCTTGGGAAAGGGTAAGCATCCACAAAGAACCCTTGCAAAAGGGTTTTATAGCCCTTGTAAAAGGGCAAGCCCTTGCAAAAGGGAATTTTTAAAGAACCCTTGCCAAAGGGTGTGGAGAAGAAAGCCCTTGCAAAAGGGTGCATGTATATAGAAAGCAGCCCTTGCAAAAGGGTGTGTACAGAATGCAGCCCTTGCAGGTTGTATATAGGCCAGTTTTAGATAAATGAAGAAATTACAAAAAAAATATGTTAAAAATAAGTAAATAGACAAATTTATTAAAACAACTAAAATAAATATAAATATGTTATTATTAAACCAACATATGAAAAAAAAACATGAAGTAAACTCATGAGAACTGTTTGAAAATAGTTTTGAAAACATGCATATTGACATGTGTATGTATATATATATATGTATGTTTTAATATATATATATATAATGTGTTTGTTTAGTTTCACCTCTAACCTTGCACACCTTTATCTACCTATAGCTATCTATCTTGCCACTACTGTCCTATACTTGCAACCCTTTAATCTTCTAGATCTGGCTTCCAGTTACCTATATAAATGCCCATATGTGCAAACCTAGCACCACCACACTTCCTTATTTTTCTCACCAATGAGATATACTTCTTTTCTTGTTTTCTCATACCTTCACCCACCTAAAGCAGTTTTCTATTTTAACCATTAGTTTGCCTTTTCATGTCTACCATTCCTTTCCATGCATATTTCCTGTATTTGCATGATATATAGCTTTTTGTTTAAAACATGTTGCTCCATACCATGCATATACATATTTGTTATATGTGTATATTTGCACATGTCTTATCTTTTGTTCCTTTCCCACTTCTTCTTTCCTGTGGTGTTTGTCTCTACCCTGCCCCTTGCAAAAGGGTAGCCCTTGCAAAAGGGTGTTCCTTGTATTTCCTTTTGTGCCATGTTTGTTGTCCATATGTTTTTGTCTCTTTTCCTATGCTATGCTAAAGCAAACAAAACATGTTTAGTTGTTAAAACAGGCAAACTAAACACATGAACATGTCCTGCCTGCAGCCATTTTTGGTTCTGAGCCTAGCAGCTATGAGTAGGAAGAAGGAGAAGGAAGATGTGGACATGGAGGAGGAGGAGGAGGAGGAAGAAGAGGAGGAGTGGGAGGAGGATGAACCTTGGAGAAATTCCAAGGGAAGGAAGACTGGTGGGGGCACCACCTCTTGGGCTAGGCAAGCCAGAAGAGCTGCCAAGCAAGCCAAGAGGGTGGTGATGTCCACTGGCAAGCCCCTTGAAAAAGGGGAGGAAGCCCTTGCAAAAGGGAAACCCCTTGAGAAAGGGAACAAGAACAAAGCCCTTGCAAAAGGGACACCCCTTGAGAAAGGGAAAGCCCTTGCAAAAGGGCAAAATGAAGCCAGGTTCCAGGAGCTGAAGGACAAGCTGACTAAGAGCCTCAAAAAGGGGAAGCTTGGTCCCAGGCTGGAAACTGGCACACCCCTTGAGAAAGGGACAGGTGCAAGCAGCAGCAATGCTGCACCCCTTGAAAAAGGGAAAAAAAACCTCTTGAAAAAGAGGAGGCAACAGCCCTTGAAAAAGGGCAATTCCTTGAAAAAGGAAATGTTGCCAAAAAGGTGGCAGTTCTGGAGTCAAAGACTGCCACCAACAAGCAGGCAAAATCCCTTGCAAAAGGGAAGGAGACTGCAGCCCTTGAAAAAGGGTCAGAAAAGAAGCAGTCTCCTGAAGCCCAATCAGAACCTTTGGCTGTGTTGGTTGATTGGCACCATTGCCTGAAAAATGGTCCCCAGGACACTGTGCTGGTCCAGGACCTCATGGCCCTGCAGAAGCTCCTTGACAAAGGAGTGGAGGTGCATGTGCTCTCCTTCTGTGGGGCCAAGCAGGCCCCCAAAGTTGAAAAGGAAATCTGGGACAAGCTCCCAGATCTCATTGACCAACTTCACTGGTGGGGAACCTGCACCAGTCGCACTGGGGTGGGGGGCAAGGCAGAGTATGCCACAGAGTGGGGCTGCCAGGTGGCCTTTGATGATTCAAAGGACATCTTGCAAGAGCTGGGCTCATGGGGTGTCAAAACCTATGGCATCCAGACACCCAGAGAGAGCCATGCATGGATGCCAGAAAACTCCAGGTTTGCATCCTTTGCAGATGCAGTGAAGCAGTTCATCAGAGATTACAATCTTTGAGACTGCTTCCAGCCCTTGCAAAAGGGTGCTCTGCAAAACCCTTGAAAAAGGGTATGGCTCTCACATGGCAACCCTTGAAAAAGGGTAGGTGTCTAGCCCCAATCCTTGCAAAAGGATAACCCTTGAAAAAGGGTAAGTGTCCCCACCCCCAAGGATAACCCTTGAAAAAGGGTAGGTGACTGGCCCCAATCCTTGCAAAAGGATACCCCTTGAAAAAGGGATGTCCCACCCCAAGCCTTGCAAAAGGATACCCCTTGAAAAAGGGACAGTGTCTCACCCCAACCCTTGCAAAAGGATAATCCTTGCAAAAGGATCAAATAAGAGCAACCCTTGCAAAAGGGTCATGTGGCTCAGGTCTACACACAGCATTTGCAATAACAAATGCATGTATTTACACACACATACATATACAATATAACATTGTGTGTTTCTGTTTGTTGTGTGCTAACCTGAGCCATAGCCCAGCCCTTGCAAAAGGGTCACTTGTAGCTGCAGCCCAACAGTGGTTTGTACAGAAGCTACCAAATGTGTAGCAAGCAGCAAAAAAATGAAATAAAAATAAATCAAAATAACTAAATAATTAATGTATTAAATATAAATACATGCAACTTTACACAACTTGTTTACACAACTTGTTTTTTAAATTAGAAACCTTTGCCATGGACATATGCCTTGTGAAAACCTGATGTTTTTTTGAGTTTTGCATGGACCCTAAAACAACCAAGCAGGGAAACACATATACTACTGAAAAAAAAAGGCAATGGAATAAAGTCTTTCCCAGAATGTCAACCCCTTGCAAAAGGGGCACCAAATTAAACATTATCCCTTGCAAAAGGGACACCACACACATTCAAGATTTAAGGTGTCAAGGTTCATTTTTGTAAACTGATATGTTTTCTCAAATGCTGTTTGGTGTCTGTTTCAGGCTGCAGGCAGATGATTATGTTTCTGTTGACTCTGCAGTTTCTTGATCCAAACAAATTCCACAATGATATTTGAAACAACATAGAAACACAGAGTACTAAACTGCTTCACCCAAAATTAAAAGCCAGTGAATTCATACCTGAAAAAACATGAATTAAATTTGATTTATATATATATAATAGGTTAAGATGCAGATGGGAAAATCCTTACTTGCAGAAATAAGTGTTCAAATTATTTATTTTAAGAGTCAGACACAAATAGTATCTGGAATCTATCTCAAATTATACAATATTTTTTTTTAAAAAAATCCAGTATAGTTTCAATATAGTCCAATACAGGTTTGACAGTGAAATGTTGCCTTACTGTTTTGTTGTGTACAAAAAAGCATCAAAAACTATTTAACCTATTTGTTTTGGTTTTGAAAAGGTTTATAAATTAAAAACTATGGTTTTAAAAATGTTAGTGCCAATCCAATCCTATCCAATTCTATCAGTTTATTTGTTTTTTAACAGGTTCATCAAAAAAAATCATGGTTTTGAAAAAAAAACTGAACTTTGATGAAATTTGATGAAATTTGATGAAAACCAGGTTTTCATCAAATTTCATCAAATTTCATCAAAAAAATCATGGTTTTGAAAAAAAAAACAGAACTTTGATGAAATTTGATGAAATTTGATGGAATTTGATGAAATTTGATGAAAACCTGGTTTTCATCAAATTTCATCAAATTTCATCAAAGTTCAGTTTTTTTTTAAAATTCATTTGAAAAAAATCAACAACCAGTGATTGAAACCAGATTTAGATTTGCAACACCTTGAAAAGGTTGAGATTAATGTAACCAATGTTTGTTGAACATTGGTTTTGTTATTGCATTTATATGTGTTGTATGTTTGTTTGGTTAGTAACATCAATTTGTTTTGGTTTGGAAAATATTGTAAAACACGTGTTTTGCTTAAATAACATAAATGTTTTATCTATGTTTGTTTTATATTGTTTTGGTTTGTGTTAATGTATTGCTTTGGTTTGGTTGAAAAATCACGTGTTTTCTTCCACATGCAAGATAATTTAATATTAAATATTTAGTATAATTTAATTAATAATGTACATTTATATATATATATATAGATATAAATATATAGTTATTAATGAACATGCTTGTGTATGATATATGCATGGTGTTTTTTATTTGTTATGTAGTTTTGACTAGAAAACTATTTATATGCCTTAATAATATATTATATGTTTGTTTTAAAACACACACATGAACTAAACCCTTCATGCAACTGCAGCCTTTTTAAACTTCAAACACTTTCAGGAAGAAAATGCCAATTTCCAAGATGGCAAAACCCTTGAAAAAGGGAATTTTGAAAAACAAGCCCTTGCAAAAGGACAAGCCCTTGCCAAAGGGCAAGCCCTTGCCAAAGGGCAAGCCCTTGGGAAAGGGCAAGCCCTTGCCAAAGGGCAAGCCCTTGCCAAAGGGCAAGCCCTTGGGAAAGGGCAAGCATCTCCCCAGCAGTGGCAGCAAGTCCTTGAAAAAGGGCAAGCCCTTGAAAAAGGGCAAGCTGTGTGCTAAGAACCTCAACAGACTTGGCAACCTTTCTTTGCAAGAGAAGGTTGCTGCAGTTTGTGAGGAGCACACTGATGAAGAAGATGCTGCCAAGGCCTTGAAAAAGGCCATGACTCCTGCAGAGAATGCAAAGGTCTGGAGCCAACACCAGACCCACTTGAAGAGAAACCCCTTGGAAAAGGGGGAGCATGATGAGAGAGGCAAGCTGGAGAAGGGGTTTGCAGCTGCCCTTTGGCTCTTGAAAAAGAGCTCTGCAGGAAGCAGATTTCTCCATGTCAAGGAAGAGGTTGCTGGCAGCACCTCTTGGAACAAAAAGGAGAAATGGAGCAGCAAGAAGGAGATGTTGAAAATATGGGAAGAAGATGAGTTTGAAGCTCATCTGTCCTCAGGCAGGATCCGCTGGAGAGAGAGTCCCACCACCTGGGGTGTGTGGGAGTACTCAGATACCCAAGACCTTGAGAAGAACTTCAAGGTCACTAAGGGTAGAACCACTGCCAGGGGTGTGGAATATGATCCTGCTGAGCAGGAGGAGGAAGCCTTTGACAGCCTTTGGCAGGCAGATGGCCACACTGGGGTGCTGGGCCTCTGCCAAGATGGAGCCAAAGGATCCCTTGGAAAAGGGAACACAAGCAAAGGCCTTGGAAAAGGCCAAGGCCTTGCAAAAGGCAAAGGCCTTGCAAAAGGCCAAGGGAAAAGCCAACAATTGGCCATCAAGGACAAGGAGGTGGAGGATGAGGAGCAGGATGAGGAGAAGGATGATGAAGATCCTGCGAAACTCCTCAAGAGAGCCAAAAGAGCCAGGGATGAATGCAGCAAGTGCATCAATGAACTGGAAGAGACCTTGCAAAAGGCCAAAAGCAGGCTCTCAAAGATGGCCAAAGATGAAATTGAGAAGAAGCTTCAGGCCTTGAAAAAGGTCCAGGACAAGTTGAAAGACTTGCTCCTGAAGAAGCCAGGTCCACCTACCTTGAAAAAGGCATTGGTGGAATGTGCCAATATGTGCAAGCAAGCCAAGGAGGAGGCCAAGGAGCTGAAGCAGCTTGCCAACAAGGCAGCCAGCAAAGCTTCTAGCATGTGATCCTTGCAAAAGGATAACCCTTGCAAAAGGGATGCTGGCTTGCACAGCCCTTGCAAAAGGGTTAGTGGCACAGGCATTCCCTTTGACCCTTGCAAAAGGGTAACCCCTTGCCAAATGCTTCCTGGCCCTTGCAAAAGGGCAGTCCCAACACTTGCAAAAGGGTGCCAGCCCTTGCAAAAGGGTCATGCAAGCCCCTTGCAAAAGGGTAGTTTTTTTAAATCCAATTTTGGTAGATAGAAGCTAGGAGAACTTCTTCACATGCCTAGAAAAAAGTTTGCTGGCTGCAGCTTGGGGAGATGGTGAAGGGAAATGCATGCATGGAAAGGCATGTATAGGTTGAGGTGACATGCATGCCTCTGCAGCTGTTTTGCTTCAAAACTGTAGGTTTAGTTTAGTAGGTAGTAGAGTAGGAGATTAGGCCCTTGCAAAAGGGTAAGTTCCAACCCTTGCAAAAGGGAAGCAAAGCCTTGCAAAAGGCAAAAAGGCACACCTTTGCAAAAAGGTATAGCAAGCCTTGCAAAAGGCAAAGCCTTGCAAAAGGCAAACCTTTGGAAAAAGGTAGAGGAAAGCCTTGCAAAAGGCAAACCCTTGCCAAGGACACCCTTGCAAAAGGGTCAGCCTCTCACCCCTTGCAACAGGAAACCCTTGCAAAAGGGTTGCTGGCTTGCACAGCCCTTGCAAAAGGGACACCCTTGCAAAAGGGCAGGTCTTACCAAAAGCAGCCTGGCTAGAGCCCTTGCAAAAGGACAATCCTTGAGAAAGGACTGCTTCCACACCCCTTGCAAAAGGGTTGCAGGGAGAGACCTTGCAAAAGGTCCAGCCAAGTGCTCTTCTGCCTGGGCCTTTGTGAAAAGGCACTTCCTCAGCCATGAAAAATGCAAAGAGGCTGAGAGGGTGGAAGAAGGATATGGATCTGGGTGCAGACACAGAAGGAGGAACCCCATCCACAAGTTCTGCACCCAGCAACTTGGCTACAAAGCTATTGTCCCTTTGGGCACATGGCAAGCTCTCTGCAGTGGAAGTGCAAAAGCTCTCCAACCTGGCCACACTTGATGGTTGCAGCCATCCTGAAGTTGCAACTCTTGGAGCAGCTGGGAATTTTGGATAGCAGCCAGGAAATTGCCACAGGGCCTTGGTAAGGTCCTTCTGCAACCAGCTGTCAGTGCCTGAGCCTGGCTTGGTCACATGCAAATGCTTTGACCCCAAGACCAGCAAAATCATTGATGAGGATGTTGCGATTTTCTACCCACACCTCATGTTCAGTGCATTGGCTGAGAGTTACCCAGAAGTTTTTCAAAAGCTTTTCAAGCTTCATGAGCTGCCTGAATTTTGGGAACAAACCTTGGCAAGGGATGATGACAGGCTGGTTAACCATCCAGCAACCCTTGAAAAAGGGTGGGAGCAAGTCACCATCCCTCTGTTCACACATGGTGATGGAGTGGAATATGAATCCAGGGACAGCTTGATGGTTTGGAGCTTTGGACCACTCCTCTCCCAAGAACAATCCCTGGACAGCCACTTGCTCATGGCAGCTTGGCCCAAGAGTTGCACTTGCAAAGACACATGGCCACAGCTCTGGAAAGAATTGGCTTGGTCCTTCAAAGCCCTTGCAAAAGGACAGCACCCAACTCATGATGCAGATGGCAACCCCTTGAAAAAGGGGAGCCCTTTCTGGGCAAAGAAAGGCAAGCCACTGGCATCAGGCCTTAAGGCCATTGTGTGGTGCATTGAAGGAGACCATGAATTCTTCAGCAACAGCTTGGGCCTTCCCCATTGGAGGAATGCATCCCCATGCTGGAATTGCGATTGCACTCAAGCTGCTGGAGAGAAGCCATACAACAAGCTCCATCCATGGGATCAGTTCACAGAGGTGGATCACTCTTGGGCCCAGGCCTTTCCTAGCAGTGAACACCCCTTGCTAACTGAGGCCCCTGGCAACAGTAGCAGGCTTGTGAGAGGAGATGCCCTGCATATCCTGTTCACAAAAGGTTTGTATGGGCACCTCCTTGGATCCATCCTGCATTATTTGTGCTGGTATGATGAAGGTGCACACCAGGCAACAAAGCCAGCAGATAGACTTGGAATCATCTTCAAAGAGGTCCAAGCAGTGTACACCGACAAAGAAGTGACATGCAGGCTCACCAATTTGGTGCTAAGCATGTTCACTGATCCAAAGAAGCCTTGGGCAAACTGGGCCAACCTGAGCTGTAAAGGTGGTGAAGGCAAGCGCCTGGCTCCATGCCTGCTGGAAGTCTTGAAAAACATCTTGGATTTCAGCAAGCCAGAGCACAGCCACATGCTCAAGTGCTTAGAGCATGTATGCCAGGTGGTGGCAATCTGGGACTCTGCAGGAACATTTCTCACAAAAGCAGAGTTCAAGAAGTCTTGGCAATTGGCACAAGATGCCATGAAAGAATACCAGTGGCTGAATGCATGGTCGGAAGATTGTGGAAGGAGTTCCTTCCACATAGTCATCAAGCACCATACATTTCTACATCTTGCAAAAGATGCCTGGTATTTAAATCCCAGAGTCTTCTGGTGCTTCAAGGCAGAAGACTATGTGGGTCACATAAGTACTGTGACCCACAGTGTGTCCATGGGTGTGAAAGCAACCAAGATCAGCCAAAAACTGGCCATCAAGTACAGAATTTTATTACATCTTCTGTACACAAGGCCAGGGTTTCATCTGCAAACCGAGGTTGAATAGCTTGGCTCTGCTATCCCTTGAGAAAGGGACACCCTGGCAAAAGGATTGCCCTTGCAAAAGGGCAATTGCCAAGACTAGCCCTTGAGAAAGGGTGCCCCTTGAAAAAGGGAGTTTGCCACAAGCAATCCTTGAGAAAGGATGTCCCTTGCAAAAGGGAAATTGCCAAAATCAATCCTTGAGAAAGGATGCTCCTTAATGCAAAAGGAAACCCCTTGCAAAAGGGCACTGCCACCTTAGCCCTGGAGCTCTTTGGACATCCCTTGGGAAAGGGAAAGATACCAGCACTGATCCTTGCAAAAGGATAAAACCCTTGCAAAAGGGTAAGTTGCCAGAGGCCCTTGAGAAAGGGCATCCCTTGAGAAAGGACATCCCTTGAAAAAGGGAGTGATGGAGCTAATCCTTGAGAAAGGGTCCTGATCCTTGGCAAAGGATAACACTTTGCCTTGAAATTTGTACATACAACCCTCCAAAAGAGGGGGCTGGTGCTGCAATGTCTGGGGTCCAAAAGGGAAAGGGGAGACAAGTGGAAACATTGGAAAATATTGATTTTTATATTGATTTTTATATTGATTTTTATATTGATTTTTGGCTTGCTTTTCAAACCCAGCAAACAAATCAATATAGAAAAATAACACCAAGGGCTCTGAAATCAATATTTTATATTGAAAAAACATTGAAATCAAAAGTGCTTGCCCCATATTGATTGTAATCAATATCGGATGCTCAGGGCTCTGTTGGTCACCAGCACCACAGTCAACCCGTGGATTGTCCAAAACAAGCCAACATCTCTCGCAGTCCGAGCTTTCAACAAATGGTTGAAAGAACTCAATCTCTCCGAACCTAAGAGGAAGGTTCTCTATGACAACTTTGCCAAAATGGAAGAGTGGTGGGAGAAGCAACCCGCTGAAGCTTTGGACACCATCGAACGTGTGGCTGCCACAATGGGCATCCCTGTCAATCTCATGGGAAAGAACTATGAGGCATT